CTAGGCCTCTTTAGGCTAGGCTAGGTCAGGCCTCTCTAGGCCTCTTCAGGCTAGGTCAAGGCTTCTCTAGGCCTCTTCAGGCTAGTCTAGTTCAGGCCTCTCTAGGCCTCTTCAGGCTAGGCTAGGTCAGGCCTCTCTAAGCCTCTTCAGGCTAGGCTAGGTCAGGTCTCTCTAGGCCTCTTCAGGCTAGGCTAGGTCAGGCCTCTCTAGGCCTCTTCATGCTAGGTCAGGCTTCTCTAGGCCTCTTCAGGCTAGGCTAGGTCAGGCCTCTCTAGGCCTCTTCAGGCTAGGCTAGGTCAGGCTTCTCTAGGCATCTTCAGGCTAGGTCAGGCCTCTCTAGGCCTCTTCAGGCTAGGCTAGGCCAGGCCTACTCTAGGCCTCTGCAGGCTTCTCTAGGCCTCTTCAGGCTAGGTCAGGCTTCTCTAGGCCTCTTCAGACTAGGCTAGGTAAGGCCTCTCTAGGCCTCTTCAGGGTAGGCTAGGTCAGGCTTCTCTAGGCCTCTTCAGGCTAGACTAGGTCAGGCCTTTCTAGGCCTCTTCAGGCTAGGCTAGGTCAGGCTTCTCTAGGCCTCTTCAGGCTAGGCTAGGTCAGGCTTCTCTAGGCCTCTTCAGGCTAGGCTAGGTCAGGCTTCTCTAGGCCTCTTCAGGCTAGGCTAGGTCAGGCCTCTCTAGGCCTCTTCAGGCTAGGTCAGGCCTCTCTAGGTCTCTTCAGGCTAGGCTAGGTCTGGCTTCTCTAGGCCTTTTCAGGCTAGGTCAGGCCTCTCTAGGCCTCTTCAGGCTAGGTCAGGCTACTCTAGGCCTCTTCAGGCTAGGCTAGTTCAGGCCTCTCTAGGCCTCTTCAGGCTAGGCTAGGTCAGGCCTCTCTAGGCCTCTTAGCTAGGCTAGGTCAGGCTTCTCTAGGCCTCTTCAGGCTAGGCTAGGTCAGGCTTCTCTAGGCCTCTTCAGGCTAGGCTAGGTCAGGCCTCTCTAGGCTAGGTCAGGCCTCTTCATGCTAGGTCAGGCTTCTCTAGGCCTCTTCAGACTAGGCTAGGTCAGGCTTCTCTAGGCCTTTTCAGGCTAGGTCAGGCCTCTCTAGGCTAGGTCAGGCCTCTCTAGGCCTCTTCATGCTAGGTCAGGCTTCTCTAGACCTCTTCAGACTAGGCTAGGTCAGGCATCTCTAGGCCTCTTCAGGCTAGGCTAGGTCAGGCTTCTCTAGGCTTCTTCATGCTCGCAAGGCCTTCCTTGGCCTTACAAGGCCTTGCTAGGCTCCAGTAGGCCTAGCGAGGCTCCGGTAGGCCTCACAAGGCCTTGTTAGGCCTCACAAGGCCTTCCTAGGCCTCACAATGCCTAGCGAGGCTCCGGTAGGCCTCACAAGGCCTTGCTAGGCCTCGCTAGGACACCAATCAAACGGCATGAACCTTACATTTCTATTTAAAGCTTTCGTGACTGCAGGGATTCATATTCTTGGTTCTGTCGGTAAAGTCACCACCACGTGGAAGGGAAACAATAAAATAATAAAAATATAAAACAATACAATTATTATTCTTGGTTCTTTCGGTAAAGTCACCATCACGTAGAAGGGAAACAATAAAATAATAAAAATATAAAACAATAAAATTAGTATTCTTGGTTCTTCCGGTAAAGTCACCACCACGTAGAAGGGAAACAATACAATAATAAAAATATAAAACAATAAAATTCTCACGACGTTTCGGACTGCAGCACAAGCAGCAATCATCGTCGTCAGCTGTGAAAACCACAGCAAGAAAATTCGATGAATTCCCGATGGCGTGGGAAGTCGTGAGCGGCGTCGCTTTGCGTGTAGAGAGACACAGAGCGAGAGAGAGACAGAGAGACACAGAGAGATACAGAGACACAGAGAGAGACACACAGAGACACAGAGAGAGACACAGAGAGATACAGAGACACAGAGAGAGACACAGAGACACAGATACACGCAGAGAGACAAAGAGACACAGAGAGAGACAGAGAGACACAGAGACACGCAGAGAGACACAGAGACACGCAGAGAGACACAGAGACACGCACGGAGACACAGAGACACGCAGAGAGACACGGAGACACACGGAGAGACACGGAGAGAGACACGGGGAGCGAGAGACACGGGGAGAGAGAGACACGGGGAGAGAGAGACACGGGGAGAGACACGGGGAGAGAGAGACAGAGAGAGACACGGGGAGAGACACGGGGAGAGAGAGACACGGGGAGAGAGAGACACGGGGAGAGAGAGACACGGGGAGAGACACGGGGTGAGAGAGACACGGGGAGAGACACGGGGTGAGAGACACGGGGAGAGAGAGACAGAGAGAGACACGGGGAGAGACACGGGGAGAGAGAGACACGGGGAGAGAGAGACACGGGGAGAGACACGGGGTGAGAGAGACACGGGGAGAGACACGGGGAGAGAGACACACGGAGTGAGACAACGAGAGAGACACGGGGAGAGACACGGGGTGAGAGAGACACGGGGAGAGAGACACACGGAGTGAGACAACGAGAGAGACACACGCTGTCGTGCCTCCCCCGCCGTGTCACTGGGGGAGAGACAAAGGCGGCCGGGCGTGGTGGTGCTGGTGGCCACCCCCTCTGTGTGTAGCCACAGTGCCGGTAGCCTTCATTGGTGCTGCTCACAACTAACAGCACTTGCCCCTACAGCCTGTTACAGTCTTTGTGTGGGTGGGTGAGTGAGTGGGTGGGTGAATGGGTGGGTGGGTGAAAGGGTGGGTGGGTGGGTGAATGAGTGAATGGGTGAATGAGTGCGTGGTTGGATGGGTGGGTGAGTGAGTGAATGAGTGGGTGGGTGGATGGGCGAGTGGGTGGGAGAATGAGTGGATGGGTGAATGGGTGGGTGAATGAATGAGTGGGTGGGTGAATGAATGAGTGAGTGGTGAATGAATGAGTGAATGGGTGAATGAGTGAGTGGGTGGGTGGGTGAATGAGTGAGTGAGCGAATAAGTGAGTGGGTGATTGAGTGAGTGGGTAAATGAGTGAGTGGGTGAATGAGTGAGTGGGTGAATGAGTGAGTGAGTGAATGAGTGAGTGGGTGAATGAGTGAGTGAGTGAATGAGTGAGTGAGTGAATGCATGAGTGGGTGAATGAGTGAGTGGGTGAATGAGTGAGTGAATGAATGGGTGGGTGGGTGAATGAGTGGGTGAATGAGTGAGTGAATTAGTCTGTGTGGCACTGGAGAGACAAAGGCGGCCGGGCGTGGTGGTGCTGCCCACCCACTCACCCCCTCGTTTGCCCCGGTACCGGTGGCCTTCATAGGTGCTCGCTAACAGCACTTGCCCCTACAGCCTGCCAGAGGCTACACGGGGGACCTTTGTCTGTGGCTACTCACTGCACTTGCCCCTGCAGCCTGCCAGAGGCTACACGGGGGACCTTTGTCTGTGGCTACTCACTGCACTTGCCCCTACAGCCTGCCAGAGGCTACACGGGGGACCTTTGTCTGCGGCTACTCACTGCACTTGCCCCTACAGCCTTGCCAGAGGCTACACGGGGGACCTTTGTCTGTGGATACTCACTGCACTTGCCCCTGCAGCCTGCCAGAGGCTACACGGGGGACCTTTGTCTGTGGATACTCACTGCACTTGCCCCTACAGCCTGCCAGAGGCTACACGGGGGACCTTTGTCTGTGGCTACTCACTGCACTTGCCCCTACAGCCTTGCCAGAGGCTACACGGGGGACCTTTGTCTGTGGCTACTCACTCACTGCACTTGCCCCTGCAGCCTGCCAGAGGCTACACGGGGGACCTTTGTCTGTGGCTACTCGCTGCACTTGCCCCTACAGCCTGCCAGATGCTACCTGGGGGACCTTTGTCTGTGGCTACTCACTGCACTTGCCCCTACAGCCTGCCAGAGCCTACCTGGGGGACCTTTGTCTGTGGATACTCACTGCACTTGCCCCTGCAGCCTGCCAGAGTCTACACGGGAGACCTTTGTCTGTGGCTACTCACTGCACTTGCCCCTGCAGCATGCCAGAAGCTACCTGGGGGACCTTTGTCTGTGGCTACTCACTGCACTTGCCCCTGCAGCATGCCAGAGGCTACCTGGAGGACCTTTGTCTGTGGCTACTCACTCACTGCACTTGCCCCTACAGCATGCCAGAGGCTACCTGGGGGACCTTTGTCTGTGGCTACTCACTGCACTTGCCCCTGCAGCCTTGCCAGAGGCTACACGGGGGACCTTTGTCTGTGGCTACTCACTCACTGCACTTGCCCCTACAGCCTGCCAGAGGTTTCACGGGGGACCTTTGTCTGTGGCTACTCACTCACTGCACTTGCCTTTGCAGCCTGCCAGAGTCTACACGGGAGACCTTTGTCTGTGGCTACTCACTGCACTTGCCCCTGCAGCATGCCAGAGGCTACCTGGAGGACCTTTGTCTGTGGCTACTCACTGCACTTGCCCCTGCAGCCTTGCCAGAGGCTACACGGGGGACCTTTGTCTGTGGCTACTCACTGCACTTGCCCCTGCAGCCTGCCAGAGGCTACCTGGGGGACCTTTGTCTGTGGCTACTCACTCACTGCACTTGCCCCTACAGCCTGCCAGAGGCTACCTGGGGGACCTTTGTCTGTGGCTACTCACTCACTGCACTTGCCCCTGCAGCCTGCCAGAGGCTACCTGGGGGACCTTTGTCTGTGGCTTCTCACTCACTGCACTTGCCCCTGCAGTCTTGCCAGAGGCTACCTGGGGGACCTTTGTCTGTGGCTATTCACTGCACTTGCCCCTACAGACTGCGAGAGGCTACACGGGGCACCTTTGTCTTTGTATTAACAATCTAAGAATCGATTCCGCTAATAATCGACAAAAAATCAGGGAATCGATTCGCGATTCATCCCTCACCCATTCCGACGTTACGAAGGGCCCACGAGGTGAATCAAGAATCGATATCGATTCGATTCTCGATTCAATTTTACAAACGGAAACTTGTGGCTCGGGTTGGTTTAATGGGGGTTGGGTGGGGAATCGGATCGTCGTCGTCAAGATCACAAAATAAAGAAATCGATTCCCGTGTTGGTGTATTCGATTGCTGTGTTTGTGATGGCGGCTTACAGAGGTGGTGGTGGTTGTGGTGGAGGTGGTTGTGGTGGTGGAGGTGGTGGTGGTGATAGCAGGCGGGAGCTGGCCGAGCTGGTGAAACGGAAGCATGAAATTTCGGTGAGTTCGCCACCTCCATCACCATCATCACCATCACCACCATCACATCATCACCTCCATCATCACCTCCATCATCACCATCACCTCCATCATCATCACCATCATCACCATCACCTCCATCATCACCTCCATCATCACCATCACCTCCATCATCATCACCATCATCACCTCCACCATCACCTCCATCATCACCATCATCACCATCACCACCATCACCATCATCACCTCCATCATCATCATCACCATCACCACCATCACCACCATCATCACCACCATCATCACCACCACCACCATCATCACCATCATCACCTCCACCATCACCTCCTCCATCACCATCATCATCACCATCACCTCCATCACCATCATCACCACCATCATCACCATCATCATCATCACCTCCATCATCACCATCATCACCATCATCACCTCCATCATCATCATCATCACCATCACCTCCATCATCATCACCATCACCTCCATCATCACCACCTCCATCATCACCATCACCTCCATCATCACCATCACCTCCATCATCACCATCATCACCATCACCTCCATCATCACCTCCATCATCACCATCACCTCCATCATCACCATCACCTCCATCATCACCTCCATCATCACCTCCATCATCACCATCACCTCCATCATCACCTCCATCATCACCTCCATCATCACCATCACCTCCATCATCACCATCACCTCCATCATCACCATCATCACCACCATCACCTCCATCATCACCATCACCTCCATCATCATCACAATCATCACCACCATCACCATCACCTCCATCATCACCATCACCTCCATCATCACCATCATCACCTCCATCATCATCACCATCATCACCTCCACCATCACCTCCATCATCACCATCACCTCCATCATCATCACCATCACCACCATCACCATCATCACCTCCATCATCACCATCACCACCATCATCACCACCATCATCACCATCATCACCTCCACCATCACCTCCACCATCACCTCCATCATCACCATCACCTCCATCACCATCATCATCACCATCATCACCACCATCATCTCCATCATCATCATCACCTCCATCATCACCATCATCACCATCATCACCTCCATCATCATCATCACCATCACCTCCATCATCATCACCATCATCACCATCACCTCCATCATCACCTCCATCATCACCATCACCTCCATCATCACCTCCATCATCACCATCACCTCCATCATCACCATCACCTCCATCATCACCTCCATCACCTCCATCATCACCTCCATCATCACCATCACCTCCATCATCACCTCCATCATCACCACCACCTCCATCATCACCATCACCTCCATCATCATCACCATCATCACCACCATCACCATCACCTCCATCATCACCATCATCATCACCATCATCATCACCATCATCATCACCATCATCACCATCACCATCATCACCACCATCATCACCATCATCACCATCACCTCCATCATCACCATCATCACCATCACCTCCATCATCACCATCATCACCATCACCACCATCACCTCCATCACCATCACCACCATCACCTCCATCACCTCCATCACCATCACCACCATCACCTCCATCACCTCCATCACCATCATCACCATCACCACCATCACCACCATCATCACCTCCATCACCATCATCACCTCCATCATCACCATCATCACCTCCATCATCACCAACACCACCATCACCACCATCACCACCATCACCACCATCACCTCCATCATCACCTCCATCATCACCTCCATCATCACCATCACCTCCATCATCACCAGCACCTCCATCAGCACCATCACCTCCATCACCTCCATCATCACCATCACCAACTTCATCACCATCATCACCATCATCACCTCCATCATCACCATCATCACCATCACCTCCATCATCACCATCATAACCTCCATCATCATCACCTCCATCACCATCATCACCACCACCATCATCACCACCACCTCCATCACCTCCATCATCACCTCCATCATCACCATCATCATCACCATCATCATCACCATCATCACCATCATCACCATCACCTCATCATCACCTCCATCATCACCACCATCACCTCCATCATCACCATCATCACCATCACCTCATCATCACCTCCATCATCACCACCATCACCTCCATCATCACCATCACCTCCATCACCACCATCACCATCATCACCATCATCACCATCACCTCCATCATTCCCTCCATCATCACCTCCATCATCACCATCACCTCCATCATCACCATCACCTCCATCATCACCATCACCTCCATCATCACCATCATCACCATCACCACCATCACCTCCATCATCACCACCATCACCTCCATCATCACCATCATCACCTCCATCATCACCTCCATCACCTTCACCATCACCTCTATCATCACCATCATCACCTCCATCATCACCATCATCACCATCACCTCCATCATCACCATCACCTCCATCATCACCTCCATCATCACCTCCATCATCACCATCAACTCCATCATCACCATCATCACCTCCATCATCACCATCACCTCCATCATCATCACCTCCATCACCTCCATCACCACCATCATCACCGGCACCTCCATCATCACCATCATCACCAGCACCTCCATCATCACCTCCATCACCTCCATCATCACCATCACCTCCATCATCACCATCACCTCCATCATCACCATCACCTCCATCATCACCATCATCACCATCACCACCATCATCACCATCATCCTCATCATCACCATCATCACCATCATCACCATCACCTCCATCATCACCATCATCACCATCACCTCCCTAATCACCATCATCACCATCACCATCACCTCCATCATCACCATCATCACCATCACCACCATCACCTCCATCATCACCATCATCACCATCACCTCCATCATCACCATCATCACCATCACCTCCATCATCACCATCATCACCATCATCATCACCATCACCTCCATCATCACCATCATCACCACCATCACCTCCATCATCACCATCACCTCCATCATCATCACAATCATCACCACCATCACCATCACCTCCATCATCACCATCACCTCCATCATCACCATCATCACCTCCATCATCATCACCATCATCACCTCCACCATCACCTCCATCATCACCATCACCTCCATCATCATCACCATCACCACCATCACCATCATCACCTCCATCATCACCATCACCACCATCATCACCACCATCATCACCATCATCACCTCCACCATCACCTCCACCATCACCTCCATCATCACCATCACCTCCATCACCATCATCATCACCATCATCACCACCATCATCACCATCATCATCATCATCACCTCCATCATCACCATCATCACCATCATCACCTCCATCATCATCATCACCATCACCTCCATCATCATCACCATCATCACCATCACCTCCATCATCACCTCCATCATCACCATCACCTCCATCATCACCTCCATCATCACCATCACCTCCATCATCACCATCACCTCCATCATCACCTCCATCACCTCCATCATCACCTCCATCATCACCATCACCTCCATCATCACCTCCATCATCACCACCACCTCCATCATCACCATCACCTCCATCATCATCACCATCATCACCACCATCACCATCACCTCCATCATCACCATCATCATCACCATCATCATCACCATCATCATCACCATCATCACCATCACCATCATCACCACCATCATCACCATCATCACCATCACCTCCATCATCACCATCATCACCATCACCTCCATCATCACCATCATCACCATCACCACCATCACCTCCATCACCATCACCACCATCACCTCCATCACCTCCATCACCATCACCACCATCACCTCCATCACCTCCATCACCATCATCACCATCACCACCATCACCACCATCATCACCATCATCACCTCCATCACCATCATCACCTCCATCATCACCATCATCACCTCCATCATCACCAACACCACCATCACCACCATCACCACCATCACCTCCATCATCACCTCCATCATCACCTCCATCATCACCATCACCTCCATCATCACCAGCACCTCCATCAGCACCATCACCTCCATCACCTCCATCATCACCATCACCAACTTCATCACCATCATCACCATCATCACCTCCATCATCACCATCATCACCATCACCTCCATCATCACCATCATAACCTCCATCATCATCACCTCCATCACCATCATCACCACCACCATCATCACCACCACCTCCATCACCTCCATCATCACCTCCATCATCACCATCATCATCACCATCATCATCACCATCATCACCATCACCTCATCATCACCTCCATCATCACCACCATCACCTCCATCATCACCATCATCACCATCACCTCATCATCACCTCCATCATCACCACCATCACCTCCATCATCACCATCACCTCCATCACCACCATCACCATCATCACCATCATCACCATCACCTCCATCATTCCCTCCATCATCACCTCCATCATCACCATCACCTCCATCATCACCATCACCTCCATCATCACCATCATCACCATCACCACCATCACCTCCATCATCACCACCATCACCTCCATCATCACCATCATCACCTCCATCATCACCTCCATCACCTTCACCATCACCTCTATCATCACCATCATCACCTCCATCATCACCATCATCACCATCACCTCCATCATCACCATCACCTCCATCATCACCTCCATCATCACCTCCATCATCACCATCAACTCCATCATCACCATCATCACCTCCATCATCACCATCACCTCCATCATCATCACCTCCATCACCTCCATCACCACCATCATCACCGGCACCTCCATCATCACCATCATCACCAGCACCTCCATCATCACCTCCATCACCTCCATCATCACCATCACCTCCATCATCACCATCACCTCCATCATCACCATCACCTCCATCATCACCATCATCACCATCACCACCATCATCACCATCATCCTCATCATCACCATCATCACCATCATCACCATCACCTCCATCATCACCATCATCACCATCACCTCCCTAATCACCATCATCACCATCACCATCACCTCCATCATCACCATCATCACCATCACCACCATCACCTCCATCATCACCATCATCACCATCACCTCCATCATCACCATCATCACCATCACCTCCATCATCACCATCATCACCATCATCATCACCATCACCTCCATCATCACCATCATCACCATCACCACCATCACCACCATCACCTCCATCATCACCATCATCACCATCACCTCCATCATCACCATCATCACCATCACCACCATCACCTCCATCATCACCATCATCACCATCACCTCCATCATCACCATCATCACCATCATCACCATCACCTCCATCATCACCATCATCACCAGCACCTCCATCATCACCAGCACCTCCATCATCACCATCACCTCATCATTAGCACCTCATCCACCCACTCACCCACTCACTCACTCACCCACCCACTCACTCATTCACTCACTCATTCACTCACTCATTCACTCACTCACCCACTCACCCACCCACTCACCCTCTCACCTTCTCACCCTCTCACCCACCAACCCACCAACCCACCCACCCCCCCCACCCACCCACCCACCCCCCCACCCACCCACCCACCCCCCTACCCACCCACCCCCCCCACCCCCCCACCCAACCCCCACCCCCCCACCCACAGGAGACTTTGGCCAACTTGGAGCGGCAGATCTACGCGTTTGAGGGGAGCTACCTGGAGGACACTCACCTCTACGGCAACATCATCCGTGGCTGGGATCGATATCTCTCGAGCCACAAGTAACTACATCACTACCACCATCACCACCATCACCACCATCACCATCATCATTACCATCACCTCTACAGCAACATCATCCGTGGCTGGGATCGATATCTCTCTAGCCACAAGTAACTACATCACCACTATCACTACCATCATCTCTCTAGCCACAAGTAACTACATCACTACCATCATTACCACCATCACCACCATCACCATCACCTCTACGGCAACATCATCCGTGGCTGGGATCGATATCTCTCGAGCCACAAGTAACTACATCACTACCACCATCACCACCATCACCACCATCACCATCATCACCACCATCACCTCTACGGCAACATCATCCGTGGCTGGGATCGATATCTCTCTAGCCACAAGTAACTACATCACCACCATCACTACCATTATCATCACCTCTACAGCAACATCATCCGTGGCTGGGATCGATATCTCTCTAGCCACAAGTAACTACATCACCACTATCACTACCATCATCTCTCTAGCCACAAGTAACTACATCACTACCATCATTACCACCATCACCACCATCACCATCACCTCTACGGCAACATCATCCGTGGCTGGGATCGATATCTCTCTAGCCACAAGTAACTACATCACCACTATCACTACCATCATCTCTCTAGCCACAAGTAACTACATCACTACCATCATTACCACCATCACCACCATCACCATCACCTCTACGGCAACATCATCCGTGGCTGGGATCGATATCTCTCTAGCCACAAGTAACTACATCACCACCATCACTACCATCATCACCACCATCACCATCATCACCATCACCTCTACGGCAACATCATCCGTGGCTGGGATCGATATCTCTCTAGCCACAAGTAACTACATCACCACCATCACTACCATTACCATCACCTCTACAGCAACATCATCCGTGGCTGGGATTGATATCTCTCTAGCCACAAGTAACTACATCACCACTATCACTACCATCATCTCTCTAGCCACAAGTAACTACATCACTACCATCACTACCACCATCACCACCATCACCATCACCTCTACGGCAACATCATCCGTGGCTGGGATCGATATCTCTCTAGCCACAAGTAACTACATCACCACCATCACTACCACCATCACTCTAGCCACAAGTAACTACATCACTACCATCATCACCACCATCACCATCATCACCATCACCTCTACGGCAACATCATCCGTGGCTGGGATCGATATCTCTCTAGCCACAAGTAACTACATCACTACCATCACCACCATCACCACCATCACCTCTACACAACATCATCCGTGGCTGGGATCGATATCTCTCTAGCCACAAGTAACTACATCACTACCATCATCACCACCATCTCTCTAGCCACAAGTAACTACATCACTACCATCACTACCACCATCATCACCATCACCTCTACGGCAACATCATCCGTGGCTGGGATCGATATCTCTCTAGCCACAAGTAACTACATCACCACCATCACTACCACCATCATCACCATCACTACCATCACCACCATCACCATAACCTCTACGGCAACATCATCCGTGGCTGGGATCGATATCTCTCTAGCCACAAGTAACTACATCATCACCATCACTACCACCATCACCACCATCACCACCACCATCACCTCTACGGCAACATCATCCGTGGCTGGGATCGATATCTCTCTAGCCACAAGTAACTACATCACCACCATCACTACCATCATCACCATCATCACTACCATCACCATCACCACCATCACTACCACCATCACCACCATCACTACAACCATCACCACCATCACTACCACCATCACCATCATCACCATCACCTCTACGGCAACATCATCCATGGCTGAGATCGATATCTCTCTAGCCACAAGTAACTACATCACTACCATCACTACCATCATCTCTCTAGCCACAAGTAACTACATCACTACCATCACTACCACCATCACTACCACCACCATCACCACCATCACCACCATCACTACCACCATCACCACCATCACCATCACCTCTACGGCAACATCATCCGTGGCTGGAATCGATTTCTCTCTAGCCACAAGTAACTACATCACTACCATCACCATCACCACCATCACCTCTACGGCAACATCATCCGTGGCTGGGATCGATATCTCTCTATCCACAAGTAACTACATCACTACCATCACTACCACCATCTCTCTAGCCACAAGTAACTACATCACTACCATCACCACCATCACCACCATCACCTCTACACAACATCATCCATGGCTGGGATCGATATCTCTCTAGCCACAAGTAACTACATCACTACCATCACTACCATCATCACCACCATCATCACCATCACCTCTACTGCAACATCATCCGTGGCTGGGATCGATATCTCTCTAGCCACAAGTAACTACATCACTACCATCACTACCACCACTACCATCACCACCATCACCATCACCTCTACGGCAACATCATTCGTGGCTGGGATCGATATCTCTCTAGCCACAAGTAACTACATCACTACCATCACTATCACCATCTCTCTAGCCACAAGTAACTACATCACTACCATCACTATCACCATCTCTCTAGCCACAAGTAACTACATCACTACCATCACTACCACCATCACTACCACCACCATCACTGCCACCATCACCTCTACACAACATCATCCGTGGTTGGGATCGATATCTCTCTAGCCACAAGTAACTACATCACTACCATCAATACCATCATCTCTCTAGCCACAAGTAACTACATCACTACCATCACTACCACCATCACTACTACCATCACTACCACCATCACCATCACGGCAACATCATCCGTGGCCGGGATCGATATCTCTCTAGCCACAAGTCACTACATCACCATCACTGCCACCATCACCACCATCACCATCACCTCTACACAACATCATCCGTGGCTGGGATCGATATTTCTCTAGCCACAAGTAACTACATCACTACCATCACTACCATCATCACTACCATCACCATCATCACCACCATCACCACTACGGCAACATCCGTGGCTGGGATCGATATCTCTCTAGCCACAAGTAACTACATCACCACCATCACTGCCACCATCATCATCATCAACACCATCACCATCACCTCTACACAACATTATCCGTGGCTGGGATCGATATCTCTCTATCCACAACTAACTACATCATCACTAGCACCATCATCATCATCAACACCATCACCATCACCTCTACACAACATTATCCGTGGCTGGGATCGATATCTCTCTAGCCACAAGTAACTACATCACTACCACCACTACCATCACTACCATCACCTCTACGGCAACATCATCCGTGGCTGGGATCGATATCTCTCTAGCCACAAGTAACTACATCACTACCATCACTACCACCATCTCTCTAGCCACAAGTAACTACATTACCACCATCACCACCATCACCATCACCTCTACACAACATCATCCGTGGCTGGGATCGATATCTCTCTAGCCACAAGTAACTACATCACTACCATCACTACCATCATCACCACCATCACCATCATCACCATCACCTCTACTGCAGCATCATCCGTGGCTGGGATCGATATCTCTCTAGCCGCAAGTAACTACATCACTACCATCACTACCACCACTACCATCACCACCATCACCTCTACGGCAACATCATTCGTGGCTGGGATCGATATCTCTCTAGCCACAAGTAACTACATCACTACCATCACTATCACCATCTCTCTAGCCACAAGTAACTACATCACTACCATCACTATCACCATCTCTCTAGCCACAAGTAACTACATCACTACCATCACTACCACCATCACTACCACCACCATCACTGCCACCATCACCTCTACACAACATCATCCGTGGTTGGGATCGATATCTCTCTAGCCACAAGTAACTACATCACTACCATTACTACCATCATCTCTCTAGCCACAAGTAACTACATCACTACCATCACTACCACCATCACTACCACCATCACCATCACGGCAACATCATCCGTGGCCGGGATCGATATCTCTCTAGCCACAAGTCACTACATCACCATCACTACCACCATCACCACCATCACCATCACCTCTACACAACATCATCCGTGGCTGGGATCGATATTTCTCTAGCCACAAGTAACTACATCACTACCATCACTACCATCATCACTACCATCACCATCATCACCACCATCACCACTACGGCAACATCCGTGGCTGGGATCGATATCTCTCTAGCCACAGGTAACTACATCACCACCATCACTGCCACCATCATCATCATCAACACCATCACCATCACCTCTACACAACATTATCCGTGGCTGGGATCGATATCTCTCTATCCACAAGTAACTACATCATCACTACCACCATCATCATCATCAACACCATCACCATCACCTCTACACAACATTATCCGTGGCTGGGATCGATATCTCTCTAGCCACAAGTAACTACATCACTACCACCACTACCATCACTACCATCACCTCTACGGCAACATCATCCGTGGCTGGGATCGATATCTCTCTAGCCACAAGTAACTACACCACTACCATCACTACCACCATCTCTCTAGCCACAAGTAACTACATTACCACCATCACCACCATCACCATCACCTCTACACAACATCATCCGTGGCTGGGATCGATATCTCTCTAGCCACAAGTAACTACATCACTACCATCACTACCATCATCACCACCATCACCATCATCACCATCACCTCTACTGCAGCATCATCCGTGGCTGGGATCGATATCTCTCTAGCCACAAGTAACTACATCACTACCATCACTACCACCACTACCATCACCACCATCACCATCACCTCTACGGCAACATCATTCGTGGCTGGGATCGATATCTCTCTAGCCACAAGTAACTACATCACTACCATCACTATCACCATCTCTCTAGCCACAAGTAACTACATCACTACCATCACTATCACCATCTCTCTAGCCACAAGTAACTACATCACTACCATCACTACCACCATCACTACCACCACCATCACTGCCACC